ACACACACACACACACACACACACACACACACACACACACACACACAAACCCATAATTGGACTACTTTTAAAATTCCCATATTTATTACCCAAATACTTCTCATGAATCTAAAAGAAGGGTCACAAGAATAAAGTTTTTTCCTGCTTGTTCAGTCCTATCAGGGAGAGGATGGAAATGTGAGCCTTTGAAATGTGAACCACTAATCTCTCTTTTACATTTCTATTTTTTTTTTTAAAAGATCCGTTATTTTCTGCTGTGAAAAACTTTTCAGAGGCTGCTTCAGACTTTCATAGAAGACTTATGCAAGTTGATCTTACTAAGTAAGTGTCAGATGTCTACTGATAACAGGATGCACTGTTGTCTCACATATGCATAGAACTCTAAGACACCCCTGCTTTAACCATGGGGTGCATGGCAGGAGCATCAGCAGTGCCAGCTTGTTAGGAAACAGGACATCCTTAAAGCTGGTTTTTTATAATTTAATTTTTTGAGAGTTTCATACATCATTTCTAATCACTCCTTAAATCTTCTGTTGTCCTCTTTCCTCATTTCATTCTCAAGTTTTGCTCTCTTCTCAGACTACCAGCCCCTGAGAGTTCTGTTAGACAATCTGCACTAACACTAAAGTTGAATCTATGTGATGAGAGTTGCAGCTGGTAATCCATAGCTCTATAAGCTCAGGTGTTTTTCAATGTATTTCTGTAGTCCTTCTCAATGCTTATATTCACCTGGCAACCATTTCTTTTGTCTAGATCTTCGTTTTTGCTCATTTTTTTTGTTATTGCCACTTTTGGGTAGAAAATAATTTTAAAATTATATTAAAAGATTATACAATAAATATGAATTGTACCAAAGTACAGTTTTTTTTTTTTTTTCAGACTTAATCAGCAAGCTTTGTCAGTCATTTTAAGGAAGCTCTCTTTTCCCTTGGATTGTGAGAGAGGACAAAGATGTATGTTGTTCAGCTTTGCAAAAAGCAGTATAAAGATTGTGAATGTGAAAGGACCCCCCCTGCTAACCTTGTGAAGCTGCTGCCTTTCTCACAGACTTCAGAAACCTGTACTTTTTTTTTTTTTTATTTGTTTCTTCTATAGTGAGGCTGTGTGACACATGAAGAATAACTTGGTAGTTTTCTGTCTTTCTGGGAGGTCTGATTATCCTACAGAGGAGTAAAAAAATACCCTTCACTTCTTTTTGACCCTCTGTGGCTTTGAAAAACAAAACAAACTACTTATCAGTTGCATTCTATGTTTAATATAAATGCTAGTGAGATGACCTTGCTGTTTTATGTTGCTTGCTATGTAATGTATTACTATGTTAACATTAATTTTGTTAATGGTGTATTGATTATTTTATGTATTTTCCCATGCCTTATCTTTCTTTAATGTTAGTTTAATTGTGGCTTACCAGTAAATATTTTAATAGTATACTTCTTATTCTCCAAGTCCTATTGAAGTGAGAATTATGAATGACCAACTGATGCTGCTTGAAAGAGCATTCATAGATCCTCTTGGTTTACCTGGGAGGCAGTTCTACAGGTAAGAAATGGGTGTGTCACAGAGGGCACAGAACACCTCACTATAATAAAAGTAGCATATCAGGATGATTTAAACTAATGTGGTTACAGGAGTGGACAATAACCACATACTAAACATATTAAGTGCACTGTAACACCAAACATGATATAGGTAAGATTAAGCAGTAATGGTATAAAATACATAGTATCAGGGAGATACATTTCATATCAATTAGTTCTTCAGTGTGTGCCAATCATGGCGGAGAAAGAACCTTAACAAAACATTCAAGCCACAGAGTTGTAGATGGATCTTAGAGCTCATGCAGACAACAGTCTTAAATCCTTCTTGCACTTTCAGGTTGTGTTTCAGACTTAGTGATGGAGAGCTCACTGCCTCATGAAGAAGCCCCATTCTATTTTACCCAAAGGCTTAACTACTAGAAAATTTCCCTCATAAAGGTTTCAAATCTTAGCCAGGCGTGGTGGTTCACACCAGTAATCCCATCACTTGGGAGGCAGAGATAAGTGGATCTCTGTGAGTTCCAGGCCAGTCTGGTCTACAAAGTGAGTCCAGGACAGCCAAAGACTACACAGAAAAAGCTTGTCTCAAAATACAAAACAAAAAACAAAACAAAATCTCAACTCTTTAAGCTTTAATGTTCTCATCTGACCTGATCTTTTTTTTTCCCCCCCAAATAAAGTTAAGTTTAGCTTTCATTCCATTTAATGATTTAGGTTGTTAAGAGAGCTGCCATGTCCCTTGAAAAAAATAGGTTTTTTTTCTTCTTTTTGGTTGTTTTTGTTTTGTATGTGTGTCATACTTTTAGTATCTTGGCTATCAGTCCCCAAAGTCTATTTTTTCAAGGTCCTTTAAAAAAAAATCATTCCTTGTGGCTGGAAAGATGGCTCAGTGATTAAGAGCACTTGTTGCTCTTGAAGAGACCTCAGGTTTAGCTCTCAGCAACCACATGAGGATTCACAACCATCTGTAACTCAATCTACTCCAGGGAATGGGCAGTCTCTACTGAACTCTGTAGACACCAGGCATGCATGTGGTACACATAAATACACTCAGGCAAAGCATTCATACACGTAGCAATGTGAACAATTGTTAAACAATATTAAAGAAATTAAATGGTTCCTTGATGGAAATTAAGAAAGTCCTAGCATTTAACTTCAGAAAAATCTGTGTTCCTGTTCATGCAAATGTAGGATTTACTGTTCCAGTGCTCTTTGATATTAGCATTTCACTTCTAGAATTTGCCTGTCTGAATTAAGGAAATAAATGTTATTATTATAATTATTTCTCTAAGCCTTGGATTTCTCAGCTACAAATGGATTTAAGGCATCTGGAGATTGAGCTACAAAATGGAAGCACTCTAGAATGTGACCTGTATTTATAATTGTTTATTCACAATTACATATAGGAGCTATCAGTTATGAATATATATGCACATGTACATATATAAAAAGTAAAAATATCTTCAATTTTAGTCTTTTGGAAATTACTAGTATTATTAATCTTTTTAGAACTAATTGTTTATAATGAAAACTTGTACTTTTAAAAATGTTCAGACTCTGAAGAATGTAGTCTAGAGACAGTTCTGTTTCATCAGCTTCCTCAATTGTATATCTAGTTCTGCTAGTTTTTTCAGGGAAACTCAGTATTGTGTGAAGTTTTAACACACTTATATATGAATAAATGTGTACATTATAAACACGTTTCATGTGGCTATGTATATAGTATTTACGGTTGTTTGCTTACTATATTTATATAGTATATTTGTATGCAAACGTTTATACATATACACAGTTCTTTAAGTACAGAAATTTTTGTTTTGTTTTGTTTCTTCAGACAGGGTTTCTCTGTGTAGCCTTGGCTGTCCTGGACTTGCTTTGCATATCAGGCCGGCCTCGAACTCAGAGATTCTCTTGCCTCTGCCTCTGTGCTGGGAACAGAAACATTTATATTTATATAAATGTAGCCATACCTTATTTTACAGCCTTTTATTTTTGTTGTTGTTTTTGGTTCAGAAACCCATCTATTGATATCAGCATAGATGGTTTTAGCACTTTCATTTCCTATATAGTACTTCAGTTTGGCTTTCATTTACAATTTTAATGGCTTTTTGTTAGAAGAGCTTCTCTCAACCATTATGAAATATACTTCCTTAAGATGTCCTTGTGTTTTAGTTGAACATTTATAAATATTAATGTCTCTATAATTAGGCTCTAGGATTACAGGGCCAAAGACCACACATTTTAAAAGTTGGTAAGAATATATAAAAATGTTCTCTAAAACACTACCCTGTATTTTAAACATATTTTGAATGATTAAATACTTAGATGTTTGAATACTGTAGATATTATTTCAGTGTAGAATGTTACTGTACTATTATAAAGATTTTTTTAAATGGCTGTATGACATATTGTATAATTTTGCCCATCAACTTCTTAGATGAATGTAGCTCTGACATCCATAATTTTTCATGTTTTAAAAATAAGCATTTTGTTTGTTTAGGCACATCATCTTTGCTCCAAGTAGCCACAACAAATATGCTGGAGAATCATTCCCTGGGATTTATGATGCCATGTTTGATATTGAAAATAGAGCAGACCCTCACTTGGCCTGGGCAGAAGTGAAGAAACATATTTCTATTGCAGCTTTCACAATTCAAGCAGCAGCAGGGACACTGACAGATGAGTTATAGAAATGTTTCTGTCAAACAGCTTCATCACTAAAACACTGAGTGAAACTGTTGGAGGCAGGGTCTTGATCAAATGGATTCCCTGCTAAAGGTGCTGAAGCAGAAGACAAAAATGTGTCTTTCTCTTTGATGATTCACCAAGCTGGACTATTCTAAAACCACGATTGTCATGTCATGTTTTGTACTTCTACCTTTTTTTAACTTTCATGCACATTCAGTGAAAGTGAAACAGGAAGCAATCCAATGTTCATGGCCAGATGCTTAGATTCACTGTGGCACATACAGTGGGATATGGCTGAAAATGAAAAAAACAAACAAACAAAACAAAACAAAAAAACAAATCTGCCTAACACCCACTGTTATTGGCAAATACTACCCAGTAAAGAGCTGGGCATCAATGAGTCCACAGGCAAAAATAATGCACATTATTTATCTCTTTCAGAGGAGGTTTCAAGCAAGTCTTTCACTTGCTTGGTTGGTCACACCAAGGTACTTTTGTTACTTGTAGCTATTGTGAAGGGAGTTGTTTGAGCCTGTTTGTCTTTTATATACAGGAGGGCTTCTGATTTGAGTTAATTTTTGGGGTCACTCATATATACTATCATATCATCTGCGAATTTTCCTTCCTGATTTGTATTCCCTTGATTTCCTTTAGTTGTCTGATTGCTCTAGCTAGGACTTCAAGTACTATATTGATGAGATATGGAGAGTGGGCAGCCTTGCCTTTTCCCTGATTTCAGTGGGATTTACATTTCTCTCAGTTTAGTTTGATGTTGGCTATGGGATTGCTGTATATTGCCTTTACTATGTTTAGCTATGTGCCTTGTATCCCTGACCTCTCCAGGACTTTAAACCTGAATGGGTGATGGATTTTATCAAATGCTTTTTCAGCATCTAAGGAGATGATCATGTTTTTTTGTTTTTTTTTCAATTTGTTTATATGGTGGACTGTATTGATGGATTTCCGTATAGTGAACCACTGTTGCATGCCTGAGATGAAGCCTATTTGGTCATGGTGGATATTTGGATTCAGTTTGCGAGTATGTTATTGAGTATTTTTGCATCAATGTTTGTAAGAGATATTGGTCTGAACAAGGACATTTGCTCAACTATGTTCATAGCAGCTTTATTTGTAATAGCCAGAATCTCGAAACAACCCAGATGTCCCTCAACATCTAGAAATGAATATAGAAATTGTGGTACATTTACACAATGGAATACTAAGCAACTGAAAACAAAGAAATCATGAAATTGGCAGGCAATTAGAAATTGGATGGAATTAGAAAAGATCATCCTGAGTGAGATAACCCAGATGCAGAAAGACACACATGGTATATACTCAGTTAAAAGTGGATATTAGCCATATAATAGGATGAACATACTAAAATCTATAGTCCTAAAGATGCTAAACAAGGAGGACCCTAGGAAAATACTTGTCACTCTGAAGGGCAAACAGGATAGACATCAGAAGTGGGAGAAGACAGGGACCTGGACAAGAGCCTTCCATAGAAGGCCTCTAAAAGACTACCTACCAGGGTATCGAAGCAGATGCTTAGACTCATAGCCAAACTTTGGGCAGGGTGCAGGGAATCTTATGGAAGAAGGGGAAGATAGGAAGACCTGGAGGGTGCTCCACAAGGAGACCAGCACAGCCAAATAACCTGGGTGCAAGGGAGCCTGCAAAGACTGATGAATCAACCAAGGACCATGCAGGGAGAGACCTAGACCCGCTGTTCAGATATAGCCCACGGGCAGCTCAGTCTCCATGTGTACTCCCTAGTAAGGGGAGGAGGGACAGTCTCTGGCATGAACTCTATTCCCTGCTCTTTGATCACACCCCCCAGGTGGGGTGGACTTTCCTAGGCTACAGAGAAGGACAATCCAGACAGTTGTGATGAGACCCGATAGGCTAGGGTCAGACAGTAGAGGAGGAAGACCTTCCCTATGAGTGGACCAGGAAACAGGAATGGGGGGAAGAGGGTGAGAGGGTGGGGCTGAGATACAGAGTGAATAAATTGTAATTAAGAATAGTAATACACTTAAAAAGAGGGAGGTTTCTGGGATAAATGGAGTTTCCCATACCTTCAGCTTAGTGTTACTTACACAGGTGCATACATTTACCAAATCTCATCATGCTGTCATTTAAATATATGTATTTCCTCAAAAACTTGGACAAAATAAATTTTACTTTAAGGGGCAAATGCTACAAAAGAAGCTAGGTGAAGGAACAGAAGTACAGAGTAGAGAATGCATGTATACTGCTACTCAGTTGACTTTTACATATTCCAGAATCCCGGGCACAGTAGTCCCACCTCTCCATTGTAATCAAGATTTCTCTGAAGATATGCCCATAGCATAACACCATCTAGACAATCCCTCATTAAGACTCACCTTCCCAGGTGAATCCAGGCCATCACAATGACTACTAAAACTGCTGCCATCAGAAATACTGTAACAAGTCACCTGCTCACATTTAATAATAATTCAGCTATTTAAGAAAACCCGAAATAAACACAAAATTTCAGTTTTGAATTACGCATGCTATCTTTAGGGTCATGTTTAAGTTTAAGGACTTTGGGAACAAAGACCCTCATGCTAGAATTGAATTGAACTTTAATCCAGCTGTGACTTCAGGCAATTTACACAAATTTTTCCTCTGAATATGGATGACGGCAATTTAATCATGCAGAGTTTTTCAAAAAATAAAGTTAACATAAAATAGTTGGCAAAGTCTTTACTACTTGAAAAACCCCATATTTAGAGCACAGCTTCCAACAACTACCTTTGATTTCTGATTTTTTCTCATTTCACTGCTTTAGAAAAACTTCCTGCCTTTTAAAGATGACTCCTCCCTCTGCTCACTGCTGACTCTTCTTTTGGGGAAGCAAGAAGTCAGGAAGAAATTTTAAGGTATCCACAGTGGCCAGTATGGCTTGCAGAGAGCTTGCCGCTCTGTTTGAATCTGGGCTTAATTTCCAGAAAACCATCTAACGTTTTACCAAGTATCTTGTAACTACACCGAGCTTATTGTGACCAATCTAAAGTACCAAGTGTTTGCTTATGGAATCTGACACAAGTATGTTTCATTACTGACGCTGAATCAAGGCCTGAAATACACTGGCTTGTGTGGCTTTTTTTCCCCACCCAATCTTCCTTTTTCATTCTTCTGATAAGATTGCTTAATGGGAGGCACCTTACAGATGGCTGGCAATGTCCTTCAAACATCTAACACACTTACATAAAGGAATCTTTTACTTAGTCATTTTACAAAAAAAAAAAAAAAAAAAAAAATTTGTGTCTGTGCTATTTGTAATGTGTTATCACTTACTGAATGAAAACGTGTCCTCAAAGTTGGTCAGAATACTATTAATGTTACATCAAGTCACATGGTCTTAGATCCTGCTAATTAATGATTTACAAATATGACAGAGCCTCACTATAGAGCCTCCTTAAAGCCTAGACAACCTTTTGATTTGTGAGTCAGCAATCTCTCTGAGAAGCAATTACTTCTAGAATCTATTATCTGTCTGATTTGGACTCTTTTTTTTTTTTTTCCCCCTCAAACCTGGGAGCAACTCAAAATTTTTACTCTCTAATCCCCAATCCAAAATTGTAGTTTCTTAATTCTCTTTCCTGCTGTTATTTCATACCTTCCTCCCATGTTTTTCTCCTACCTACAAGTGCCTTGTAAAATTGATCTTTCTAAGATGTAAGCTGTGTTAATCATGTGAGGAAAAAAAGTGGATAGAAAAGGAACTCAACTTTGAGCTTGTTGGCCTCTCACAACATGATGTATTTCAAAATGGCCAAAACAGAACTTAAAGTCTCCGTACATAAAAGTGACCGAGTAGTGGCTAAAGAGACGTGATTACTTTGATGTGATTCATATATCATATACACAAATCACAATACACCCCATGAAGACAAATTAAAAAACAATTAAAATTGTATATCAGAACAGCCTTATTTTGCAACCTTAGGACCCATTTTCTGTGTCTATGTTCTATCACATTTCTAACAAATTTTTATTGGTTGTTTATCAAGTTAGTCTAGAAACAGTATTTTGACTAACACTGGTCTGACAGGAGGAAAAGGACAAAAATAATCTAATGATCCTTAGCTGTTTGGTTCTAGCCACCTTATTCCTGTACCAGGAATATATTCTAGATACTCCTAATTGTGTGAGCATTTTATACAGATCTTACATTATCAGGGAAAACAAAAGTAAGTTTGCTGCTGTATGACTGCAGGTTCTAGCACAGACATCTACAAGGTCTGTAACTACCTGAATGGTAACGGAAACCACTGATTTTTTGTATTGAGGATTTTCAGATACCTTTCAAGGATCTCTGGAGAAACCATAGGCTCTCAGGGTGACAAATCACAAATGGTAAGTTTTTAATAGGCTCTTAATCAAAACCATTCCAGCAAAATGACACATTTTGTAAATAACATTTACTACCAGTTACAAGTTTTCCATGCAATGTGCCAGTATTTTATAAAGAGCTATTCATTCAACTGATAAGTACAGAGTAAGTCTGGATAAAGGCACAGGGATCAAATTCAAAGTGCCTGGGTCTGCAATCTTTACTCCACAGTTTACTGATTTCAACTCTGCAAGAATGTGATGTGAATCTTTTTCCTTGCCTGTAGTACAGGACAACACACCTCAGAGTAGCCATAGCAGTAAGTTCATACTCACTGATGCTTTTAAAACAATGAATGCCTGTCACTAACAGCTACCCAAATATGCCAAATGGTGCAGTAGAAAACAGGTGTCTATTAGTTGGCCAAAACAAAAACAGCAAAACTAATATGAAGGCAGCAAAAAGACTGTAGAAAAATAATACACATAAAACAGGAATATATTCCTCCAATGTCTTTTTTATAAGAAGTGTCTCAAGCTTTCAGAGTTTTCCTTTTTTCATGTTTAATCATTAGTCTGTAAACAGGAAAATCTTTTAAAAAGATAATTTTACAATTTAATAATTTCAATATCATACACACTTAGTGGAAAAGGAGTAATAAATCAAGGTATTTTAACACAAAATCTTTAAGTGACATAAAATGTTTAAAGATCATTGATAAAAATAAAACTCTCTGGAAACCTGTTCTTGAATTTCCTTACGTCTAAGAACTCCATAAATAAAGCACTAACTATATATAGAGAAACCTGGCAAACAAGGTATTATAGGGATAATACTACATGACCAAGGACATGGAAAGCTATCATTAATTAAAAGGCCCATGAAAGATGAGGTAAATATCAGTTGTAAGAACAGAAGACAAGCAGGCAGATAAAAACATGATCTTACGAAAGCAGAGAAACAGATCAATAAAAACCTTTAAAAAAATCCTAATTAGACTTAGCTCGTACTTCAGAATAAGGACATAAAACAATACTGAATAAACTATCATAGACTGAAGTGAAGTAAATAACCTGCAATAGAACAATAGCACAAAACAATCCTTACTTTTTAAACTGTAAACGTAAAGTTCTTAAAAAAAAAAGAGGTTAAAAAATAAATACCAATACTCCTCAAACTATTCCACAAAACAGAAACAGAAGGAACATTGCCAAACTCATTCCATGAGGACAGTCATCCTCATACCTAAACCAAAGACCCAACGAATTGCAGAACAACATCCATTATGATCATTAATATAAAAATACTCAATAAAATACTTGCAAACTGAATTAGGAATAGCAAAAATATCATCCACCATGATCAAGCAGGCTTCATCCCAAGAACGCAGGGATGGTTCTTCAACATATGAAAATCCATCAATGTAATCTACTATATAAACAAAATAAAAGAAAAAACCCTATATGATCATCTCCTTAGATGGTGAAAAGGCCTTAGACAAAATTCAACACTGCTTCATGTTTAAAGTATGGAGAGACAGGGATACAAGGCACAGAGCTAAACACAATAAAGGCAATATAAAGCAAGCCAATAGCCAACATCAAGTTATATGGAGAGAAACTTAAAGAAAGTGATGGCACTACAATCAGGGAGAAGACAAGGCTGCACACTCTCACCATTATTTTCTTCAATATACTACTTGAAGTTCTAGCCAGAGCAATGAGACAAGTAAAGGAGATCAAGGAAATAGAAATTGCAAAGGAAAAAGTATCGCTACTAGCAGATGATAAGTGGCCCCCAAGGTTCTACCAGAGAACGCATATGGCTGATAAACACCTTCAACAAAGTGTTTGGATACAAAACTAACTCAGATCAGTAGCCCTCCATTATACAAGAGACAACAAGGGACAACAGGGCTGAAAAAGACATTAGGGAAACAACACCCTTTAAAATAGCCACAATTTAAAATATCTTAGTGTAACTCTAACTAAGCAAGTCAAAGACAAGGATAACAAGAACTTCAAGTCTTTGAAGAAGATTTTAGAAGTTGGAAAGATCTCCCATGTTCTTGGATCAGTAGAAGTAACATATTAAAAATGGTCACTATACCAAAAGCCATCGACAAAT